ATTTCAGGAATGGAAAGACTCAGGCATTTTTGAAAGAAATTCCTTCAGGAGGACTAGTAGAAGGACATAGGATAGAGAAACACTGATTAGCAAGAAGCCAGCAAGCTTAGAGTCTAACTAGTTAAGTGTTTCTGCGGAGCCTCAGGAATGTGTTAGTACTAGTAACAGCAACTGGAGGACTGTGGATATTTCTGTAAGTCTTGGAAGAGGGCCAGCAGGGAAGCATACTTTTGTTTGCTTGGGGAGGATTGTTCATTACCTCCGTGTTGATAGAATTATATAAGTTTAAATGTTTGTCAGAGATGAAAAGGTGAAAGAATTTTAAGAAATGACCATTATAAGAACAGAAGAGGGCATGCAGTTTCCAAACCACTAGAGTAATGTCAGTAAATTTTCTGTAAAGGGCTAGATGGCAGCTAGCTCAGGCTTCGCAGGCAGTCCTGTGTCCCTTGCACCCATTCCACTTGGCCACTGCAGCACTGAAGCAGCCATAGGTGACACAGACAAGTGAGGGTGGCTGAGTTTTAATCAGACTTTGTCTATAAACAGTGAAATTTGAGTTTCACATAACTTCCACATATTAGAAAATATTCTCCTTAACTTGTGGGCCAGAGATAGACACTGTGCTGGATTTGGTCCATAGTTTACCGACCTTTGCACTACAAAACAAAGGAGGGGGGCAAAGAAAATGTAATTTTAATGAAAAACAAGGGGAGAAAAATTGAAGGTGGGCAAGAGACTGTAAAGAAGTAGAACAAATAAGAAACATCAGAGATGTCAGGAAAAGGAAAAGACAGTTCTAATAAATGTGAATGGAGTAAACCTTTCCAGTAAAACCAGATTCTCAGATTGGATATACCCTAGATGATAGTAAGGTACTGGACCATGGTATATCTATATTACAGAACTACTTCTTGAAGTGTGATTTATGTAATAGCACCCCTTAGCACACTCTTGCTGGCCCACCGTAAGTACAGAGCTAAAGTAGTTGGAAACTTTTTTAGTATGGTGACATTGTCATAACTTTACATGTGATCATCTTTCTAGTAATTTATTGTAATTTACAAAACTATCAATAATGGTTTGGAAACTAAAAACAAAACTGGTTTGAGAAGCACTATTAGAGATTATAATTCAGGTATTTAAAATGAAGTAGATTCATATTTATAAACATGTTAAATGAAAAAAAAGCAAATGATAGAACAGTACAAAGGTATGATTCAATGTGTTTTTTAAAAAACATCAATCAGCCCAGCCAGCTGATTGGCTCAGCGTTTGAGCATCCACCTAGGGTCCAGGAGATTGGGGTTCAATGCTTTGTCGGGGCACATGCCCGGGTTGCAGGCTCGATCCCCAGTCAGGAGCGTGCAGGAGGCAGCCGGTCAATGACTCGTCATTGATGTTTCTATCTATCTCTCTTCCCCTCCCTTCCTCTCTCTGAAATCAATAAAGATATATTTTTAAAAAAACAACCACCAAAAAATCAATCATATATATAAAGAATTTTTAAAATATGGAATAATTCGTATGAAAATGTTAACCATCATTACAACAAAGAGATTATGATAGGTGGGTTAGAGTTGAAGGACTTGGTAATAAAGGAGTATTTTCATGTTTTAGCCTATACTTTTGTATTGTTTGACATTTTTTACGGCAGTATGTTTTCATTTATTGTATAATGTAATATCTTATTATTTAAATTAATGATCTCTTGGTCTTTTCAATAAATGGTACTTGGCAACTGAATATCCATATGGAAAACAAGGACCTTTGTCTGCTTCACACAATATACAAAAATTAATTTGAGATGATCATAAACCAAAATGTGTAAGTTAAAACAGGAAAACTTCTAGAAAAATATGTAGGATAATGTCTTCATGAATTTGGAGTAGACAAAGATTTCTTAAACAGGACACAAAAAGCACCAAGCACAATGGAAAAGATTTATAAATTGGGTTTCATTAATACTGGATATTAGGTTCATAACAACATGCCATTAAGGGAAGGAAAATGCAAGCTACAGCCTGAAGAATATATTTAATATATATGTGAAACCTAGAATTATATATATTTCCTGTGTGTGTATTTATCTGATGAAGAACTTTGTATCCTACAAATTAATAAAAGATAATTCTGTTAAAAATGGGGGAAAAATTTGAAGAGGCACTTCAAAAAGAAGATATCCAGATGGTCAATTTGCATATGAAAAGGTTCTCAAACATCGTTAATCATAAGGGAAATGCAAATTAAAACGACTCTACCTGGATCAGAATGGCTAAATTAACAGGACTCGTAAGACCTAGTGTTGGTGAGGCTATCTATAGAGCAATTAGAAGTCTCGTACGTTGTGGGTGGGGAATGTCAGTTAGTATAGTCACTTTGGAAACCGTGTTGTCTACTAAAACTGGACTTGCAGAAATTCTTTGAGGCAGTAGCTCTACTCCTGAGTATTCTCTTTACAGAACCGAGTGCTTATGTTCAACAAAAGACTGCTGCAAAAACATCCGTATGAACTTTATTCCTAATATCCAAGGAATCTCTCCATGGAGAGTATAAATAAATAGTGATATATTTATAGAATTGACTACTACATGGCAATGCAAAGAAGAAAATACTGCTACACAGCAATTCTGGCTAATCAAGCTGACATTTTCCTTTCTCTTCAGGTAGCTGAGACAGACCGAAGTAATTTAGTGGCATTTATTGCATAGATACTGTCAGTAAGGTTTGTTTTTTTTAATATATTTTTATTGATTTCAGAGAGAGGAAGAGAGGGAAAAGAGATGGAAACATCAATAATGAGAGTCATTGATTGGCTGCCTCCTGCACGCCTCCTACTGGGGATCAAGCCTGCAACCCGGGCACATGCCCTGACCAGGAATCGAATCATGATCTCCTGGATCCTAGGTCTATGCTCAACCACTGAGCCACACCGGCCGGGCTGTCAGTAAGCTTTTAAAAAAGTCCTCATAAAGTCACACTCATTATAAAAACTCAAACAGTACAGCAGTGTAAAAAGTAGAAAGAAAATGCCAACCTTGAACTGCCATCAGATTGGGTGTATATTTTTCCAGTCTTTTATTGGAAATATATTCACATGTATTTTTTAACAAAGGGGATTATATTATGTTTTCTTGAAAAAATACTGCTACACATAACAACGTGGGTGAATCTCATTGACATAATATTGAGCCAAAGACAAAAGGATATCTGCTGTGTTACTTCATTTTTATGATTTATGGTGAAAGAAGTCAAAATAATGGTTTCCTTTGCTGGAGTGGGGGGTATTGATTGGCAGAGGGACACATAGAAGCATTCTGGGATGCTGGAAAGGTTCTAATCTGGATTGTGGCCACACAGATATATGTAATAGTTCATTAAGCTTTACACCTACACACTTAGTATCTGCATAGTTTACTGTTCTACCTCAATAAAAATGTAAAAAAACAACCACCAAGAATTCAACCAACTTATTCTTTACCCTCTGATTTGAAATTTGTCATTATACTAAATTTCCTTACATATTCAAGGGTCTTTTTTCTAGGTCTTGAATTCTTTTCTATGTGTCTGTTTTTGCAGATAAATTGTTCTGATTTAATTATTGTTGCTTCATGATACATTTAATGAATACGTTTAATGGTGTGAATCTTTCCTACTGTTCTTCTAAAATTATCTTGGATAGTCTCACCTCTTTATTATTACAGATAATCTTTAGGATCAACTAGCCAAATTCTAACATACCCTCATGCCACTGGAATTTAATTGTAATTATGTGAAACTAATAGATTATAAATTTGGAGATCATTGGCATGTGGGTTGAGTTCAGAAACATTGTATATCTCACCCTTTCCTCCCAGTTGTGTAGTTGTCTTCATGCAGGTGTTTTGTTTTGTTTTTGCATTTTTATTTTGCTATTATGAATGGGAACTCTGTTATATTTTTATGTTCCTTGATATAATATCCTTTATATTATTGGAACTTCTTAATCATAATAATGATCACTATTATTTGTTGAATACTCTTTGCTAAATAATCTTATTTACTTCTTATAATAGCCCCTCTCAGGTAAATACTGTTACAGCATTATGCTAATTTTTACATATGCGATCAAGGAGGGACAAAGACTTATGGCTGGTTTGTGGTAGAGTTACGATTCTAATCCAGGCAACCTCACCCCAGAGCTACACTGCCTACAGACACTGCACTGTTGGCCTAGGTGACCTTGAGTGAAGGAGGAGAGACATGTGGGAGGGTCAAGTGTAGGATCAAGTCCAGTACTAATGGATATGACTGACAGTACAGTGGGTGAGTAGTAATTGGATGCATAAAAGCAAGACATATACTAAAGTGGATTTTTTGGTATGTGCTTATTTATATTTGTAGAATACAGTATTCTAGTTTGCACTTACTCAAACCAACTAAAGTTCTACAGTTTTTTAAATAAGAAATTTAATAATTTTATATATTCTCAAATACTACTTACTATATTTACCAAATGATGATAGCTATTGTTTTAGTTGTGTTCTTTGTTTGCAAAGAACTGTCACTCACTCCCACTAGCTGAAATTGTGAAAGTATATTGTAAAGATACACAGGATATTAAAGGAGATGGACTCTTAGGGATATCTAAGAGGTGGTTCTGTAGACTAGCCAGTGCTTCTGGAGACTAAAACTGTCTTGTGTTCTGAATCAAAATCAGCTTAGGCACCTCAGCTGCAAGATATTTTTTAGATATTCACTACAGTATATACTATATCTTTCCTCAGCTGCTACTCTCTCTGTTATCTGTTTTTTTGTCCATCCATTTACATTAACACCTTTAAGAATATTCTCTGGTATATGAGTTATTTAACCCAAGATCAGTGCTAAATTTAAGGTATGAGATTCTTATTATGACAGTAAGTCACTCATAGTAAAATAAAAAACCTGAAATATTATATTCAGTAAAATTGGATATTGACAATAAAACTGTATGTAAATACTTATTAACTTGATCCTAGGTTGGGCCATGCAGGCTGCTGCCTATATCTTCATTCATAGGAAATGGAAGGATGACAAGAGCCATTTTGAAGACATGATTGATTATTTTTGTGATATCCGTGAACCACTTCAACTCCTCATATTCCCAGAAGGGACTGATCTCACAGGTAAGGTAGCCTGGGTTTGGATCACAGAATTTTAAAAAATGAAGGAACTTAGAAATCATCCAATCCAAACTTCTTATTTCTTACATGAAGTAACTGAACACCAAGATTAATGTCCCACCCCTAAGGTCACTCAGTTAATCAGTAGCACATTAGAACCCAACACTCCTGGTCTCCAGACCCCAGAATTTATGATGGGCAACCCCAAGAGATCATGATTATTTATACTTACCATCCTAGAGCTTTATATTTTGAGTCTCAGTACATATTTTAAGCATCAGCCTTTTATATAATATGTATGGAATCACAAAAGCTCTGAATAGCCAAAGCAGTCTTGAGGAAGAAGGACCTCCTTCCTGTTCTTTATATTTTCTGTTCTCTTCCAAGATACATTTATCCAGTAGACCTTTTCGCTCAACTTCTTATTAGAAAAGCATCTGATAGTAACCAATTTCATTTATTGTTGATGTAAGTTAATATGTTGCATTTCTCCTGGTATTTTAAAGCCTTATCCCTAATATAAGCAAGAAAGGCTTTGTCCTTCCTCAAGAAAACTCAGCTGTAACTGAGGGGACGTAGAAGGACACAGTTAGGACTTCCTGCCTTCCCAGATATCAAACCACATAGGCCAACAGTGCCATTGGATTTCCATGGATTCTTTAGAAGGTTAGAAACAAAATAGTCTCATCCTTGCCAAATCAGTAGTTTTCACCTGGCTTTAAAGCACGGTTGATTTTTATAGATGAAGTCTTCTATTGCAGTTTAGGATTTAAGACAGATTGAAGAACTGCTTTCGTTGAGCTTGGGTGGGGGTGGGGTGTGTAAGCTTGGGCAAGAAGCAGTTCTATAGAATCCTTCAACTCAGAAGAGCAAAATTTAAAGACTGGTTACTTCAAGAAAGATACAGCAGAATTTGAGAAGGATCCAGTGGATGAAAGTCTGCTGTATGAGGGAAGATAGACTGAAGTAGGACAGAACTGAAATCTAAAAATCACATGGTATGGAGAGGTGGCACATTAACTTGTCTTCCAATTCCTCAACACCAGATCAAGGCAACTAAGATGCACTAGGAGGGGCAACCCTTAGAGCTTAAGAGAGGAGAACATGTAAATGAACATACTAACTCACTCTCTCGACGTTGTAATGTATGGAACCAGTTACACAACTATTTAAGTAAGTGAATGAATGACTAAGCCATAATATGTCAATACAGGAAATGAAAGTATTTTGGGAAACATTGATAGCAAGGAAGAGATCTTTGACTCATCTGTTGCAGATGGAACTGAGCTAGATGAACCATGGCAATGTTAATGTACTAGTATTATATATTAAATATATGCTTACTGTATAGTATGTATTTGGTTTTTATAGCTAAAATGCTAAAAGCAGTTGGATCACTAAGAATAATATTGGCTGCATATTGTTTAAGCTTGAAAAGACATTGTAAGTTGATTACCAGAGCTAAACTATCATTGGGAAATTATAATGGACAGAGCCATACTTAAATTTTATAATACTTAGAATGTATAATACTTAAATGTGGGTATTGAAATAGCAGCTATCTTAGTATGTCATTTACTGAAATGATAGATTAATTTATATTTTTGAATGCCAAAATGCATACTAAAGAATGGGAACTTTGGAAGTTATTTAGTAATTAAAAGCTAATGGAGTAAAAGCCCACAGGTTGCTGCTACTTAGGTATGTTAGATTAAAATGTCCATACATTAGACATTCAGAGCCTACATAATATATATTGAAAACTTTTTTTAGTCTCTATTTTTTCTCATGTCTTTTTTAGGTGGTGAACTTATTCAACATGTAGTTGCATATTTTCAGGGTCCAGCTAGAACAAACTGAAGAGTAGTTAACTACTCACGCTTTTAGTGCCCCTGGGCTTTCTCATCCCATTTCAGGTACTGCCAGCTTTGATAAGCTCCCATGCCCAGGGTAGTCTCCTCAAGTGAATGAGAAAGGAGCTTATTACTTTTCATGTTTAGGGCCTTTACTTTTGACTTGCCGGGGATCTGTGGATATTTAGTTCTTTGACCCAATTCTTCATTTATTTTTTTAAAGCACATGCCTTTTATAGGAGTATTCTTTGAATATTTTAAATCCATCTGTGGTTTTTTTTTAGGTTTTGAGGACTCCATGGTCTTAAATTTACTCTTAGGAAAGTTGTGTTTATATATATATAGGCACTTTTCTTGTGACTTGGAATAGTCTATAAATTTCAAGATGCAGCTGAGGGTTGCAGGTTCTAACATCTGCTGTCATCAGAAGCTATTTCATGATCTCCCCTAGGGGTTGAGGCCAGATTTCTGAACACTTTACTTTTTCCAAATATATTTGCTGAATAATGGGTTTGGTTCTTCTTGGAACTTATAAAGTTACCTCATGGAATGGAAAAAGAGGTTTTTGCCAACAATTGGAACATATACTTGACTCTGTAACTATACTCAGCCAAACCATGTTCAGATGTTTGTACATGATGTGCTGATCATGTGCCCATTCTGTTGTGGGTGGTTTTAGTTAGTAATATTAGCATGCTCTGTGCCTGAGCAAGGGAGATATTTCACTTTGCATTAAAGCCCTAAATTATTGGGTTAAGAAAAAATGTTGATCTGATATGTTTGGCAAATTGCTAGTTATTTCTTCTGAATGTCTAAATCTCCTTGTGTTTTATTACTATTTTAGTTTTATTAGCATCTTATATTTTAGTATTTCAATTTTTATTACATAAAGACTATGAAAATTTTAGTTTATTAGAATTTTATTTGTATTTTAGATTTCACTGAATATAGACTTTTGTGAAATCTCTTAAAGAATTTTAAAGGTTTGAATATGAATTTATAAACCTTTACAAAAAGTTATTTAATACCTTACTATATAATTTTCAAAAGTCCAATAAATACATAACTCTAGGATCTTTGTAAGGGATTTGCTAAAGTGTATCTTCTCATTTGACACAGTAATCACAGGAAAATTAACTCATTTTTATTAAAGAAACTTTGTTTCCTTACCTCACATTATCTTCCTTTATTGCATGGCTTCTAATGGTCTGTTGTTTTGTTTAGAAAACAGCAAGGCTCGAAGTAACGATTTTGCTGAAAAGAATGGACTTCAGAAATATGAATATGTCTTACATCCAAGAACTACAGGCTTTACTTTCATAGTAGATCGTCTAAGAGAAGGTAAGCGCCCATCTCAAAGTGGCAAAAATGGATACACTTTATATATACATAGCCCTTTAGAATTTACAAAGCACTTTTTTATATTTTATCTCAAGAAATGAGACACTATATTTTTACACTAAGTTGACCCCATGCACTAAAATGTTTTATTATGTATTCCTTAGAAATATGAGAGATATCTTTATAAAAACAAAACTTTTTCACTCCCCCCTTTTTGGAATAGGCAGAAAATGATATACACGGTTAAACTGTCATTTTATTTTTAAATGTTTTTCAAAGCAGCAAAACTGTCTTGAAAGTATCTTACTTATACTATAATTATGCTACAGTTCTTTGTAGCTTAAAAATATTTTTACATTCATTATTACAGTCCAACAGATGATTCCGGTTGGTAGGAAGGCAGTAATGCTACCTCCATTTTATAGTTAAATAGAACTGGCATCTGGGGTGGGTAATACATTTTTATAGGTCAGGGATAGAACCCCACTCTTCAGCTTCCTAGTTTGCAGCCCATACTACTGCCTACCTCACATTTGCTTCTTCTAGAGCCTTGTCTATTGAAGGGCCTGTGGGGACAAGGTGATTCCATTGCTGATATTACACCTACCACCCATTTAAATGTTTATGTTTTGATATTTTTATGTGTAAAAAAATTGTACATTTCATTATAGCTGCAGATTTATATATTTATATATTCATACACACGTACATATAAATAGCACACATATTAATGTATTTGAAAAAGGAACTATCCAGAAACATGCTGAAGTGTTATTAACTTTACAAGAATAATTCTAAGCCAGAGTCACCTAGCAGAAGGAAAATCTTGTTTGCACGTTTCTGCTTTGCACTCTGATTTCTAGTAAATCATATGTATAATGGTGACATCTGTGACAAATTATCACCTTCATCTGGTAATTGCTTCCTTGTCACAAAACTGCTTGTTCCTAACATGAAAGGCCTTGAAACATTATGTAAGAATTAAGTTCTGTCTTCTTTCCCTAAATGGCAATGTTGTTTCGTTAGGGTTTAATGTGCTTTAAGATACTAAGTATAACCTCAGTTAACAAACCCTGCCAGGATGAGACATCTGTACAATGAAGTACCCATGATTTTAAAGAAATATAGCCAATCCAAAATTACAGTACAGACTGAAAATGTCGTCCCCATTAGTCTGGCTTGCTTTTGGAATTCTGTGTTTATAGTATGAAATGGCCTCATGTGCTTGACGGCTGTGTGGTGTGTGAGAGCGAGTGTCCATCTACCCGTAGAGGCGCACGGAGAAGGCAGCTCTATGCCTGTGGAAGGCACGGGGAGGCCCAGAGACATTTGAGCAGTGATGCTGTTTTTATTTTTTCTTCTTTTTTTTTAATGTGGTACCACTTATTGTGACTTACAGTTCAGACTCCTCATTCGACAAAATGTTTTTTATTTCTTTACATAATCTGATATTTCATAGTATTTAGTGGTTTCATTAAAGGTATTTCTGACATCATGGCACACATTCATCTGCTGGCTTTCTCTCTTAACACAAGTATGCTGTTGGAACACATCTTTGCTAATAAAGATCTTTCTAAATGTAGGCAGGGCAATTGAAGATTATTTTATAGTGGATAAGGATATATCTGTAGTTCTGAAATCTGGGGAATATTTTAGTAGCAAACTGATTTATAACTTTGGGGGATGTGTGTCACTTAGTCATCACTCAGGGTACTAGTCACCAACCACAGTGTGTAATTTCCTGCCAGAGCTGGCAACTGATTTCCCCCCTTCTCTGTATCAGTAAAAAAGACAAACACAGTCAGATGATTTCATTTGCTTCCATTAGAAAAGTGGAATGGGACCTATATACAGTAATAATGATAGAAATAATAAGGATGATGATGATGATGATTATAGTGATGGCAGTTAACATGTATTGAGTATTTGCTAAGTACCAGGCATTATGCTGAGTGTTCTGTCAATTAATCCTCACAACAACCCTCCATATGGTAGTTCCCACTATTAATATTTAATTTGTAGGCAAAATTAAAGCAGAGGCTGAGTGAAGAAGCTCGTCAGAGTTATTGGCATATGGTTTGTCTGAGTAGCCACGCTCTTTCTACTGTAATGTGGTGCCTTTCATATTTGTAGTATGGTTTAGTTAATAAAGGACCTTTTCGATAATAGTGATCTGGATGGTTTTCTTCAAGAAAGACTTCTAAAAAGAAAGAACAAGGAGGCTAAATGGCCAGATCATGGAGGGATGGTGATCACAAGGGAGGTGGTTATGATGCTGCCTGAGATGACAGGGTGAGCTGGCACCAGGTGGGGAGTGGAGGCAGCTCTACTTTAGGCAGGGGTTTGGGGAAGGACTGGTGTCAAGTGAACTGAAAGAAAAAGTTTCATCAAGAATGAGGGGTAAAGAGGTTCTTAGAGGTCACCCAGGCCAGAGCATCCTTTTAGAAGAGGAACCTGACTCAGAAAGGGCCCAGCACAACTTCCTGACCTTTAAGCCCCTGAGATCTGCTTCTGATCATTTGAAATAGAATTGTACACCTGAAACCTGTATAATTTTATTAACCAATGTCACCCCAATGAATCAATAAAAATTTATAGAAAAGAAATTTTTTTAAAAAAGAAGCTTGCTCTTAAAACAAGTGACCATATAAGTAAATACTATATACTAATGGAATCCTGGAGACCACGCACTGAAACCAGTTACCAATAAATAACATCTTTACTGCTCACACATGTAACTGAATTCAGTGTTGCTGACATCCCATAGTCAGCACAAATGGGAAAATGAGAGGTTTATGACACCAAGAAGTTAAGGATAAAAAGTCTTACTAGGAAGCACTGAATGAGAAAAAATATAAAACAAGGAAACTAGTTTCTGTGCCTCTGTTTAGAATATATTTTATCAAGATGAAGAGCATTTAGGAAATCCACACTTATCCTGAAATATAAAACCCATTATATAACTTTATATACAGATGTGTTGTTCCTGGAATAATAACTGCAAAAGTTTACTTCACCCCCTCCCCCTGCCCCCAAGGACCAGTACCTTGATTTCTGTCATTAGTGTACTTCCTTTATACTTTTACTAGATCATAGCCATCTTAAGGTTATGGAATGCCCTGCACGTAATAGAGACTCAATCGGTATTAGTTGAATATTATTTTCTTTTATCTGAAAAGTAAGATAAGCATAGTGTCCTAGATCAATTTTTGTCATGGATGATTTATTTCATATGTACCTCTAATCATAGGGCATTTCAATATGTAATTATATAATTTTTCTCCAGTAGATTAACCCAAACCCAAAAGAAGTTGTTAACTTAGAGAAAAGAGGCTATTATATGACAACGTTTTTGTTTTTGTTTTTGTTTTTTTCACATTTAATAATAAACTTTTATCAGTTTATTTTGTTATATTCCACATATAAGTGAGATCATTTGGTACTTGTCCTTCTCTGACTGGCTTAACTTAGCATAATACTCTCTAGTTCCTTCCATTGCTGTGCCAACGGCCAAAAGGTCCTTCCTCTTCACAGCCGCATAGTACTCCATGGTGTAAATGTGCCACAGCTTTTTTATCCACTCATCTACTGATGGGTACTTGGGCTGTTTCCAAATCTTAGCTATTGCGAATTGTGCTACTATGAACATAGGGGCGCATAAGTTCTTTGCGATTGGTGTTTGGGGTTCCTTAAGATATATTCCCAGATATGGGATCACTGGGTCAAATGGCAGGTCAATTTTTAATCTTTTGAGGAAACTCCATACTGTTTTCATAGTGGCCGCACCAGTCTGCATTCCCACCAGCAGTGTACTAGGGCTCCCTTTTCTCCACACTCTCACCAGCACTTGTAGTTCGTTGACTTGTTGATGGCAGCCATTCTGACAGGTGTGAAGTGATATCTCATTGTGGTTTTAATTTGCATCTCTCTGATGATTAGTGACGTTGAGCATTTTTTCATATGTCTCTTAGCCATTTGTATGTCCTCTTTGGAGAAGTGTCTATTTAGGTCCATTGCCCATTTGTTAATTGGATTGTTTGTCTTCCTTTTGTTAAGTTGTATAACTTCCTCATATATTTTGGATATTAACCCTTTATCCAATGTGTCATGGGCAAATATGTTCTCCCATACAGTGGGCTTCCTTTTCGTTTTGTTGATGGTTTCCTTTGCTGTGCAGAAGCTTTTTATTTTGATGAAATTCCATTTATTTATTTTCTCCTTAGTTTCTCTTGCCCTGGGAGATGTATCAGCAAACATATTGCTGTGACAGATGTCTGAGATTTTACTGCCTATGTTTTCCTCTAGGTTTTTTATGGTTTCATGCCTTACATTTAAGTCTTTTATCCATTTTGAATTTACATTTGTGTATGGTGTAAGTTGGTGGTCCAGTTTCATTTTTTTGCATGTGCCTGTCCAATTTTCCCAGCACCATTTATTGAAGACTGTCTTTACTCCATTGTATGTTCTTGCCTCCTTTGTCACAAAAATTAGTTATATTTATTTCATCTCTGGTGCTTCATCATTTTTAGGAATAATAGCTTTATTCTTCCTTGATTTTAGACAAATAATGATTTGGTCCAACCATTATTTGGTTTTACTGTTTTGTAAGCCAATTACTGAGTTGTAAATGTTCAATAATTACTTTCACCATTAGGCGGCACAAGTGTGCTCATTTGAACGACTTGAATTAGGTTTAACTAGTTGGAGGTAAGGATGAAACTTATCATATTTGTTTGAAGGTATGTCTTGTTTAAGATTGACCTTGCCTTCAAGAACTTTACCATCTTCATGGATTGATAATAATACACATGGAAAAATTAAAAAATAAAAGACAACATAATTATACGCTACGTTTTATGGTATATAACATATAAATATGCTGAATAATTACAGGAGTGTTCAGTAAAAGAGATCATGTAGTGTTGAAATACTCAGATAAGGCTTTTTCAAGAAGTTGAATTTTCCTTGGACCTTAGAGACTTTATGTGATTGGATATGCA